GGCTATAACATGACTGTCCTTCACTGGTATATTCATCCAATCGTATAATATAATTCACTTCCATGTTCTGTAATTTATTTGACTAAAAACTCGATATTTTTTCAGGAAACCATTGGGGGATTTCTTTTTTGTAAGTACAACGCACTGAATAATGACAATAAACAACGGCACAATAAAGTTCTGTCTAGTCTTCTCTGAGTTCTGTCGAGTTTTTTTAAATGTACATGTAAGTTGTGCCAATTATTGATGTACTAATGCTTTCCCGCAGGACGATTGCTTTGATTGCACTGTTTTCAATGTTCCTTCAAAACATCAAAACACCTTTTCCTAGTTGGAATAAAAGTAAAGGATGGTACATCGCCCGCTTTCCTTTCTTTAGACTATTTCCGGTAAGGATTCCTTGTTTGTCCATCTATTTTTCTTTCCCTTCATCAAATCGATAGTCTATCAATCTTCATTCAAGAGTCTCTGTCCGTCCGACCGGCGGTACGGTTGAATCATCTTGGTATGTGTTGATTTCATATATTTCCTTTTTTCTAGGTTATAATAGCAATTATAATCGCTTGGATTGTATGCGGAATTGTCACGGCTGCTGGAGGTTTCCCGGATAATCCTGCAAAACCTGGTTACCTGGCTCGTACGGATGCAAGGACTATAGTGTTAAAAGAAGCCAAATGGTTTAGATTTCCGTATCCAGGTACATGTATGACGTGACTGTATGGCAACGTGAAGTCAACGTGAAGTCAAGCTCATTTCATTGCTTGTTCTCCATGTTTATATTCATAATAACCGAGTGATGTATATGAGGATCTAGGCGCGCTTTCCCTTCCCTTTATTATGCATCACATAAAGTGTTTTACCTTCTACTTAGGTCAATGGGGTCTTCCTACCGTTAGTGCTGCTGGTGTGTTCGGCATGGTTGCTGGTGTTCTAGCATCTATCATTGAATCTGTTGGTGATTATTACGCATGTGCAAGGCTTTCGGGTGCGCCTCCCCCTCCAAAACATGCCATTAACCGGGGTATTGGTATAGAGGGTATTGGTTGCTTTATCACTGGTATTTGGGGTTCTGGTAACGGAACAACATCTTATAGTGAGAATATTGGAGCTATTAGCATTACTAAGGTAAACCATAAATGCAAATCGACGATCATAATTATTGTTATAAAATAACTTTCATATTCCGCGCGCTCTGATTGGCCAAAAAGCCGTGTTTGATGAGAGCATAATACACGCTCGCGTCATTTTTTTTTTCTCGGCTTTTTTT